GATTTTCTGTTTTATTAATGCTCTAACATTATTGAACTATAATTTCTTCTTAAAATTATTATTTGAATGTATTATTTACTAACCCCATATATTGCAGACAAAATAAAGAAGAAAAATCCAAGTATTTTATGTTGACGTTTTTCTATAGGGATTTGGTCGACATTGTATAAACTACAATTGTAAAGACGCTCGTATTCATCATGATGAAAGAAATACAAGTCCATTGAAATTTATTTAAATTTTCTTGTTTTTAACTAAAACCTAATTTGTGTAGATGCAAAACACTATAAATTATAGTGTTTTGCAAGTACATAATTTCAGTTTTGGTTAAAAGAGCTTCCTTCTTCTAGCCCTAAACTTATTCCAACCTCGATTTCAAACCCTTTCTTTGTACCTATGCTTAATTATAAGTCCGGGCACAACACCTTATTTATTGTTACGACCCCGCTTACGAAGAGGAAGCTAACAGAACGTTTATCGCACAAAGAAATACAAAGAAGATGAAGTTGTGGTAGGAAGAACTAAAACTGACAATGAGACCGAGAACTAACTATTGGCTGGGCTTTTATACTAAACACTTTAAGGGCTTGTTAAAAAGCTTGGTTAAAAACTTCCTTCTTCTAGACCTCAACTTATTTCAACCTCGATTTCAAACCCTTTCTTTGTACTTATGCTTGTTTATAAGTCCGGACACAACATCTTATTTATGGTGTTGTGTCCGCATATTTATAGGGTGTTAAGTTTTTTAATAATAATTAGTTTTTGTAATAATTATTTAAATTTTTTTAATTGAGATTTTTGAATAGATTTTTTAATGTTGCTATGTAAATATTTTAAATTGCCTGACATAGTTACTCAAAAATTTATAAAAACAAATTACACTATTATTGAAAAAAAAGTAAAAAGAATATTTGTATCTAGCTTAAATAAAGCGAAAATTTTCCACAAAATACAATAAACACACTTTTAAAAATTTCATAAAATAATAGGTTGTTAAACCACCAAATAAATGGTGGTTTAAAAAGCCACCAAATAAACCACCAAATACATAAAAACATTTATAAATCTCAAATTTGTTTCGTACTTTGAATATTTTTAAACAATTTAATTTGCATCAGTGAGAAATCAAAAAGAAGGTTTTTAATTTAGAATAGATAACTAAGCTTCTAAACGAAGAAAAAAATTGTTAAGGAGAGTTGAATGGAATCTTAAAATATATATCAAATTAAAAAGAAAAATTTAAAAATTTAATATATTAAATTTCCAATAATGGAAGCAGATGATAATAAAATTAATTCATGTGGTAAAAGAATTAATAATTAAATTAAATACTAGGATTTTCCAGTTTTACTATTTTGGATATCCGAAAATTTTCCAAGAATTGGCATTTAAAGGTGTAACTTTGATAGGTATTATCTAAAATCTATTTTATTTAAATAAAGATTGATGAATAATTCCAGAAGTAAACAACTCATTTTATACGATCATTGTAAAGATTCTATAATAAAATAGGTATATGTTCTGAATGAAAATCCGAATGTGTTTAGTATGTATCAGCAAATTCAGTTATATTAGCAATTTCGATACATTTGTTGATTCAACACAGTTACTCGATTATCTTCCCTTACAAAATTTATCTGGTGAATGAAAGGTTGGATAGCATTTAACTGTAGATTTTTGTAGCCTTTCTTAATAGCATTAACACACTTTTTTAGCATTTTAAAACAATTACGTTGAATTGTTTTGTTCATTGTTAAGTAAATAATAGAAGGTATTCCTGAAATAATTTTTTAGTTATTTTCTTTTTATTCCTTGTAGAAATATATTTTTATTTTATAAGAAACAATTAGAGAAATGTTATGGTTGTACTGAGATGATAATCAAGAAAAATTAATATGATAATCCTAAACCCGATTTATTAAAATTAATATATTGATATCACCGTGCACATTTAACCAACAAATTTGACCGATTATAATAATAATGTCATCGACGTGGATATATTGCATAAAAAGATAGATAGAAGCAGTAAGAATATTAATCAAGCTAATCAAAAATACTTGAAGAAAAATCTAAAATTTAGGGTTTAAAGCAAACGTAAAAGTAAACACCATCTTTTCAGAATAGCTTTGTTGATTGGATTGAAGTCCTGCTTGTTTGGATTTAAAAATTATACAAAACGTTGAGTAAGTAAATATCATAAATAATATAAGGAATGGATCATGGAATACGAAAACAGGATTCTCATATACCTTTTGAAGAACAAAATATGTTAAACTAATTACTAAACAAATACTTGATTAACATCATCAATATATCCAACGTGCGGATTCAGAAACCAGCTAAAGTAGATGCCGTTAAATAAACCGGGCTTTAACCAGATAATTATAGATAGACCGTATATTGTAGGAATGGCAAGCCAAATAAACAATTTATTTCCTTTAGTTTTGATAAAAATTAAATTAGTCTAGTGTTAATTTAGGGTGGAATATCAGGAGGTTGAGGCTTTTTGAAAAAACAGAACCGAGAGTCACCGAGGCTGGAAAAGCATAGTTCGAAATAAAGAAGCAAATCTGAACCCAAACCCTAGGCAAGGATTGAGGATGAATGAGGTTTTTAAAAAAAGTTTCTTGTCGGGGTTTTTTCCCAGCAAAATCGAGGTTGACGTTTAAAGGCTAGCGAGGCCTCCGTTGCGGCCTTGACCTCGTGCTGCTCTAATTTAAACTATTAAAATTTAAAGCAAAACAGAAAAAAATTAAAATTTAAGAAAATATATTAATTTGTAGAATCATAAGTTATTATCATTTCCCCACCGCCAAAAATTTTTCCAGCCAATTCAGAAGCCCACATTTCAACGCAACGATTCAAAGCTAATATTCCGTCCATCATAGATTCAGCAGCCCAGCAGACTAATAAATAAATTTATTAAAATATTTAAAAGCACGAACAAGTTCCAAATGCTCCAACAAAATAAATAAATTTTGGTGAAGAACAAAAGACATATCCAAAATATCCCAAATATCCTGTTAAAAATCCAACGGCTATAATCGCTGCCATATCAAGAACTCCCATAACGAACATAATTTTATAACAAGTACTTTTTGCCATTAGCTTCCAAATTGAAAACATACAAGGAATATAGAGTATCTGTTTAATAATAAACATTTAAACTCAATAAAGTTACACATTGTGGCAGGTTGGCCATCCCCAAAACCCTTATGTAGATTTGCTTCACAAAAAATGATCATCAATTGGATACACCCAATATGAGTAAATGCTTCCTAAAGATGCGTATGGCCATATTGACTTAGGGCTTAGAAATCAGAGTTATCTTCAGTGTAACCCAAAAGTAATGAGGCGCGATATTTATGCTGTAACTTTATTCAAATTAAAGATTATATGAGTAAATAAAGCTTAAATAAGAGAAACCAAGCAAATATATTTTGGAACTTTGTAATTATTAAATTTATATTTTCTGGAACTATATTAATTATTTTTCTATAAACTAATAATATTTTATGCTTTTGTAGCATTTTATTATAGGTATTTTTATATATTCAAAAATACTCTGCCAAAATTCACCTCATAAATCGTAGATAAAATGAAAAAGAAAAATCCAAATATTTTATGCTGACGTTTTTCTATAGGGGTTTGGTCGATATTGTATAAACTACAATTGTAAAGACGCTCGTATTCATCACGATGAAAGAAATACAAATCCATTAAAATTTATTTAAATTTTCTGGTCTTTTAACCAAAACCTATTTCGTATGTCTAAAATGCTTTAAAAATTTGAATCCATAGTTTGAAATTCAAACTAGCGTTGGTCTCTGTATTCAGCTTGAGAACCATTAATCACTTGAAAGAGCTCTTCGAGCTGAATCGAATGGTTTAAAATCAACGTGATACAACTTAATTGAACAAAGTTATGACAAAAAGCCTTTCTAATTTAGCTTCACAATTTTATTCAAAATGATCAAATCTAACCGATCATGGTATCATTCAACCCAGCTTGAAGAGCTCTTTAGAGTGATATATAAAATATTATATATCAAACAAAACATCTCAAAATGGTCAGGGTCAAAAAATCGGGGTCATCTAATTCAATTTACCTGAACCAAAACAAATACCCATAGAGAAATTTTCATATTCTATAATTTGGTTAACGAAACCGGACTTTACTTTTCGCTTTGAATGATTTTTAAAGGGTATACTACATATGTACAAGTTTATTTTGCTAATAATTAATTTTTCTAAATATTTAAGACAATTTTAATTTAAAATTTTAGTGCAGAATTATAATGTTTCTAAGCATACTTATGTTTTAAATTGTTTGACATAAAATAGTTAAACAAAATCATATTTATTTTAAATAATTTACTGTAATATTTTCGTTAGCAAGACTACAAATATGTTTATTTCTACACTAAAGTAAAGAAACTTTTATTTAGATAATTAAAAAATATTTATATTTTTCATAAATTTGAAATGAAAATTTTCCATAAACTACAATAAAAATTCTGGTCAAAAAAGCGATACACTTTAATAGGGGACGCATATAAGGAGCCCACTATTGTGCCCAGCACAAAAGGGCGCCACATGTTTGGACGCCCAATCCTAAGTTTTTCACAAATTTTTTTCAATTTTTCCTTCGGAATTTCAGAAGGTTATATCGAGATTAATGTGGATATCAAGAGATAAAAATGTGGAAATCTGTCAAGAAAGTGTTAAAACTCTAACAAATTAACCTCTAGAGTATTTTTGATATTTCTTTGATTATTTACGCCTTCCTCCTTCATTATCTTGGGTAAAAAATAAAATATTAATTACACAATATTTATATTAATTATTTTTATTATTAGGCATTCCTAATAATTCTTATCAAAAATTTATAAAAGCAAAAAATCATCATAATCAATATATAAACAAATAAAAAAATTTATTTATTTATAATTAATTTATTTATTTAAATTTATCATTTATAAAATTCATTAATTTTTAAAAATTATTTAAAAATGGAAGAAAAAGAGCCCTTACTTGAAAATCAAAGAATTGAGCGAAGACGAACAAGTGACCCTCGATTAATTTTAACCAATAAAGCTGGCTTCTTCACTAGAAGGAAAAGGCTTAAAAAGTTAAAAGAGGTGGTTGTTTTTGGATTTTCGAGGATTTTAAAATAGTTTCAATCTTTTATTTAAACGTTATTTAATTATAAGTTAGTTTATAATAAATTTGTTCAAAAGGTCTAAGTATATGGATAACTCTCGTTATACTATCAACTGAATAAACAGTATAATTTTACAACGGTATACTCCAATCATAAGGTGTTAGTGTGATTAAAACCCCTGATTTTTTATTGTTGTGGAGCATCAAATATTTTTTTAAAATATGTAGCTTATAGTTAATGGTGGGGGGGGGGGCAGTTGAAATAATTAATTATAATTTGAAATTAATTAATTAAACGAGAAGTTTATGACATTTGAATGTTTACATGTATTCATTTTATAAAATAAATTAAATTAGCAAATATTTCAGTTTTATGAAAATCAGGATCGATTAATCGAGAATTACCATATCGACGAGCAATGCTTCAATAAATCAGATTTCGATCATGTAGCTATTGAAATGGCTAGAAATGAAATGAATAAAAAAGGTCAACGAATGGACAGGCTTATGGCAAGAATTATTTTTGGATTAAATGTTGTTTTGTTAGGTGCTAATTTAATGGCCTCGATATTATCACATTCTTACTCTGTTGTTAGGTTATAATTTTTTAAATTAATTTTAAAAAATGATCCTTCCTTTATTTATATTATTCTAGAGATAGACTTTGAGTCTTTCCGCTAAAACTGAAAAAGATTTTTCTCGTTCCTCCAACTCCTTTCTACCAAGAATGCTTAGGCCATCTCGAAGTTCCCTGTAAAATTTTGACGTATATGCTACTGCAATCTCTCTCCCTCCTTTTATTAGCGAAATTTAAGAAATCCATGCAGATTTACATTAAAAATTATACCCGCATTCGGGATCCAACAAATACAGCTAAACACTAATTATTTTTTTGTACAAATTAACTCCTTAACGAGTCAAAATTTAAAAAAATATTAAACTTTTAGTGCCTTTATCGACAATGCAATGGATCTAACAACTTCGTTAATTGTCCAAGTAATTTTTACTTAAATAAATTTATAATTTTAAATTAAAAATAGACAAGTGTTTGGGCAATAAATAATACAAATATGTTAAATTATCCAAGAGGTAGAGAACGATTAGAAATTGTTTCAGTAATTGTATGTTCTACAATAATGGGTGTAGCTAATATTATGATGATTGTACAGTCTGCTCAAGCTATTATTTCTAATCAGGCAAGGAGAAGCATCAAAAAATAAGCATTCAAAAAATTTAAGGCATTTTATTCCCAATGCAAAATTTTCCGGGTCCTATAAAATAAATTATTTAAAGGTCAATCCAGAAGCTACAATACCTACAATATCTATCCTTTTGGGAGGAATAACAATAAGAATTATATTGTTAGCTATTTGTTATTCAAAAAGTTCCCAAGGATGTAAACTTATGGGATTGGATTTAAGAAATGATATTTTGACATCTGTGGTGGCTTTGACTTGTGCTGTTATTGGGGATAGATACTGGCCTTTAGCTGACCCGATTGGTGCAATTGTTGTTTGGTAGGCATCGATAAATATCTCAGCCTAGGCGTTTTCATTCTTCATTAAGTTCATTTATTGCAATTTCCTGGATGGCTAATGTCTTCTCAACAATTCCGTTAATGATAGGGCGTCGTGCCGAACAAGAAGCTATTTCACGTATTTTACGAATTGCTATACAACACGACGATAAAATTAAACACATTGATCATATGATGGTTTATCATTTGGGGGAACGTGCATTAGTTGAATTACATGTAGTTTTGGATGAGCATTTGCCGTTAAAGTTAACACATGATTTAACGGAAGCATTGGAGAGAAAGGTGAGTAAAAACAATAATAAATGCAAATACGAAAAGGGTTAAAGGAGGATAATTAAGGATTCTCATACGAGAGTCGGGATCGATATCTTGGAGAATAGCGGTCTCGGTAACCAGGATTTTTGTCCGGGATCTCATTCAGGGCTCTAATTTGTAGAAGCTTTTCGCAACTCTTTGAAAAATATTTTTGTATATTCCAGATTCGTTCGTTAGAATTTGTTGAACGTGTTTTCATTCATGTAGATTATCAATGTGATGGATGGTTGGGCGGCCATTAAAAATATATACATATTTTCTCATCAATTAATTACTAGATTAACTAATTTTATTGTTAAAAAATATTTAAAGATAAAAATATTCAGTTTATAAAAAATTAGAAAATAATTTTTACAGCTTTTCAAAAATTATTTTGTTATTTTAATTGAAATTTTTTAACATGAACTTCTTCTTTGTTGTCAATTTTTGAAGAAATTATAGGCGGCCTTTAAATATTAATTTTTAAATAAAATGTTTAATTGAAATAATTTTAAATAGCTAAGTAAATCCTAGTAATATGACTAAAATCATGTTTTTTAATGTCAAAAAATTTGAGCAGTGGAATGGCCGTAATTCCTAAAATTTTTGATTAGCAAAAAATCAAGAACAATTTTCGTTCGAAATTAATGATATCGAACATAGATTTGGGGTACGTAGTTTTCAACTTTTTTCCGGACTCAGAGGGATGTAGTGATCCAAAGTCATAATTATAGTTAAACTACATACTATATACAGCTCCATTTATTTTAAAAAGCTTCAAATCTAAAAATCAACAAAGAAAACCTACCTAAATTAGTAGGGGTAATAACTATTCTCATAACGCCACGAAAAATAACTTTGCGTTGGTGGGAGTCTGTAAGGTATTCGGTAATAACAATCGTACATTGGACCGAATTTGTAGTAGTCAAAAGTGTCGCTGTGTTTATAGAAAGGTGAATAAGAATAATAGGGCCAAAAATTTAAAAATTCTCCTGCTGTCATTTTAAATTTTCTTAAACTGAAATTATTTTAAATTTAAAAAAATTATTAAATTTTAGATAATAAAATTAATAGATTTTTTAAATTAATAAATTAAAAAATCAATCTTTTGGGGTAAAAATAAAATAAAGTTTATTAAACAGCCGGAAACAAAACATAGTGAATATTTTATTTTGGGAAAACAGTTGTTAGAAAAACATATTTAAAATACCGTAAATCCTCTAAAATAGCCCCGGCCTCTAAAATAACCCCAGCCTCTAAAATAGCCCCAGTCTAGAGGTCGATCGAAAAAAATAACCCCATGGGGTTATTTTGGAGGATTTACGGTAAATAAAAATTTAAAAAAATAATGTAAAAATATTCGTATTATCCCGTATTTCCTATAATAGTACTCTCAGTATTACTATTTTTCAACCTCTATCTAAAGAGGAGTATTATTTAAGGGGTGAGTGCTAATTAAGGGGGAAGTACTATTTCAGGAATACGGTATTTCAATAAATAAGCTGAATTTTTACTCAAAAATCAAAATTTATTCACATAAAATTATATAAAACAATTCATTTCCAAGCAAGATTTAAATTTTTAAAATATATTTCTGAACTCATATTCATATTTATTTTGACGAAATTCTTCTTAATTTCATCCTGTTTCTTCAGAAAAAAGTCATATACAATCAATGTTATAATTGCGTGAGTAAAAAGTAACTTTAATTAAAAATAATTAAATAGCAAAATAATAAAACAAAACGTAAAAACTCTCAGAAATACTTGGACAAAATTTTAGGACAGATCCACTAATTTTCAAGTTAAGTTTTATATCCACACCAAGGCGCTAATTTTTGAATTTTAAGAAGGCTATGAAGCAGGGTGGCCCCTTCCAAAACACCAAAATAGGGCGCAGCCACTCAAAAATATGGCGAAATCGGCCAAAAATAGAGCAAAAATTAGGGCATAGGTTTAAAATCTTAAACATTATTCAAATTTTTGAAAATTTTGGAAGGCCAAGAAGCCAAATTCCATTTTTAGCGCGCAGGTGAAAATTTTGAGGATTTTGGGGGGCTTTTTGTAAAAATATGGCAAATGAGGAAATAGGGAAAAAATAGGGCGAAAAGGTCAAAAATAGGGAAAATCCTCTATAAATAGGGTAAAAGGGCCACGCTGCTATGAAATTAAAAATTCCATTCTACAATAGGCTCCAAAGTTAGCTATCAAGGGAATACGGAAGGAAACATATTCTTATATGATATATGTACATTAGCGACGTCCGAGACACTTGGCTTTAGTCTTGGAAAAGTTTCGGTCTCGGACATCCCTAGAGGGGATGTCCGGTCTCGGACTCCCCTATATTTCAGGCAAATTTAAACTTTAAAGGCAGATTATTTAATACATTTTATTTACATTTATCGATTATGACTCTTTATGTATGATATGATTATTTGTTAAGATACTGATAATCGAGATACTGTTAACCTAAGCTTGATAGGTCTTATTATTGGTGTTCACCTGACCCTAACTATTTTAAAGGATATAGTTTGCCTCTACTGTTAGATATTAAGATAAATAAGTATTACCAGAGAAAAGCTCTCATAGGTACGTGTATAAACAAGTTGGTCATATTGTTCACGATTGTATCGTATATAGTTTACAAGAATATTAAATAATGCAAAAACAAATGAATAAAAAAAGTCAAGAGGAAAAATAATTTTCATTAAAAGAATGTTTTGTTTTGATTGATAGCTTTGGCTTAGATTGTAGTATGTTGCAGATTTGAAACTTTAAATTTAGTGTAATAATTATATGTTGTATCGAACCTAGTTTGTGTTTACTCCCATTCCCCAACTTAGCTAATCTTAATATATTCTTTCGTTAAAAGCTGTTAAGCTAAGCTGCAGTTAGCTATCATGGGAGTACGGAAGTAAAGCTATTAAAAACTAATCATCACAAGGGCAATTAACCAAAAAAGTTAGATTTTCCAAAAGATGGCTTAATCCTCAGCGTGTCCGGACAATGCGTCAGTGGACAATGCGTCAGTGGAAAATGCGTCAGTGGAAAATGCGTCAGTGGACAATCGGTCAGTATTGATAAAAAGTGATTAAAAGTGATGATGTAAAGAGATAAAAAAATGAATGAAAGGACTAAAGATGGGATATAAACAAATTAGGAGTATCTAAAAAGGGATTTTGGGGTTTAAAAGAGATATAGAGGGATTCGTTGGGATTAAGGCGATATCTCGGGTTTGGGAGGATTAACAAAGATATTAAGTTACTTGGTTGGATTAAAATTAAGATAAGACGATTCGGAGAGATATCATTAAATTTTTATTTTTTTTATATCATCACTTTTAATCACTTTATATCAATACTGACCGATTGTCCACTGACGCATTTTCCACTGACGCACTGTAAACTGACGCATTGTCCGGGAGCCATCCTCAGATTCAAGTTTTTCAAAATTTGAATTTTTCCAGTGAAAAATGTTAATCTTTCCAAACGCCCAAGAACTATAACTCCTATTTTGTTCTATCCGATACGATTTTTTCAGCTCCAAGGTTATATTTAAAAGTGTTTTAAAATATTTACAAATTTGATTTGATTTTTTGATTCCGAGCAATTAAATAATAATCAGCAATAGCTACACATATTACCAAAAACAAATAAAAGAAGTTAGCGAATATAAGCGCTTGAGAATTATACTTAGTTGTAAGTGTTAGATAAACCATTGGATGACCAAAAGTATCGGTATCCATTTGTGTTGTAATATAACTATAGAGACAATGTGTAAAAATCAAAGTCCACTAAAATTAAAAAATAACAAAATTTAAAATTAAATTTTACCGCAATAATTGTGCTAATAACTCCAAACAACTTCCCTTGATTTTCATAAATTTTAACATAAACTGTAGCCAAAACTCTTTCAATCATTATAGCAAAATGAAATAAAGGAGAGCCGTTAACGTAAATAATGAATGGCATCCTAATCAAATAAACTAACCAAACTGGAATTAAACATTCACATGGATCCGAATATGTGAATAAAACAATCTAAAATTTGTTATTAGAGTGACTTTTAATTATTTAACTGACAAAATTCATAAAATATTCAAGCATATTTGCCAATACATAAATCGCATAAAGTAAAAGTACATTGCTCATTAATATCTTAAATTTTCAGAAAAATTTTAATTATCAAAAACTCAATTATCAACTTGACAAAATTATCTTTTGGCCTTATTTTCAACCAATAGTTTTTGGATTTAGGTTTTATTATGGTTATATCAGCCTCATCACAAAAGATTATTGAAAATAGAGTATCAATTATTGTAATATTAAGTTAAGGTGAAAGGGAGGATGGGGATTAGCATCTTATAAATGTAGCTATTTAATAGTGTAAATTGTAAATATCTACATAGTATATATTTAATCATATTTTATATTTTAATGAATAGTTAGCTTTTTCGATTATTCACAAATAGTACATAAATATTACTCTAATTGTAAGAAGATAATCTTTATAAATCAACTTACAAGGAGATTTGTATGTAATTTCTTCGATTTTGTTTTGTAAGACCAGATAACACGAAAAAGTAACACAATAATAATCATACTTAGAATGATAAGTAATATTCTTAAAATGTTAAATTTCGTATCGAGAACTAATGCTTCAGCGGCAATACATTCGGTTTGATTCATTTTTAAAACTTAATTTTCTATAAATTTTTTATTTTAAATTAATTGAGTTGAAAAAAGTAGACTAATAAATATGTAAAGGTATCTTTATCAATTATAATTTTTAAAATTTTGAAACTAAAAATTAAATTTCGTAATTACACGTTTTTTAGTACTTTTTATACTCTTTTTCTTATTAGCGTGGTCTACATAAGGGTGAGGGAAACATCTGTCTTTAAATTATAACTTTAATATTTGTTGACTCTTATATTTAACGAGGAAAGTTCATATTTATAAACAACATTTTCAGATGGCAATTTTCATTTAAATATTAAATTTTTAATTAACGTGAAAATCAGGTTGCACGTAGAAAAATTGCAGAAAAGGTCAAGGGTATCTCTGTAGAACATTTTTTGTAGGTTTTTTACTTACAATCAACTATTACAATTTGTAATTTAAGAAACACATTTGGATTTAAAGACGATATTTCATTTATCCTTAAGCATATGGGTATATGAAAAAATCGAGTTTCATGTTGGAATGGAAAGCGAATGGTCTGAGCATTTAATAGGGAATCCAATATTGATTGGAGGACCGGGTTTCTGATATTATTTTCAATAAAATGTAAAAAATTATAGGAATCATATGCGAAATCGATGAGACAGTAGTTGTCCGTCGAAAGTACAATCGTGGTCGTGTATCTGCTAAGAATGAAGTCCGGTTATTTGGAGGGGTGGAAATAGATTCAAAACATGAGCATTGCTTTCTGGCAATAATAAGGCGAAAGCGTAGTGCCGAAGACCTTGCCTTCCTAGTCTTCGGTAAGGATATTCTCATGGAACCGTCAATTATTCAAAAAAATTTTTAGTTAAGAAGACTCAGATATACATACACAGAATATAAAATCATTGTGGTCATCTAAGCGTAAGTTCCGTCATCACGCGGTAACAACACTGATATACATAACGAACATACTTTCCTGAATTTCTGTGCCGAAAACCGTTTGGTGATATTTCTCATGTTTTTTATAATTTTGGTATCATGTCTCTCTTGAAAAAAGTAAATAAATACTGCTCATACTCCTTTTTGATACTTACCTCATAAAAAGTAAGGGAGAAAAGGTAGGAAAAATGAAAAAATGGCCAGAAAAAGAGGGGATACGAACCGAATAATTACCAAACCATGAAAATCCGGAACCCCCGAGAAACCAGATTTCATCAAAATAGCCAGTTCCGGGCCGGGTTCGAACTCTAATTTACATATGCATGCATCTTCTTACCCCCTTAACATTCTTTCCTTTAAATGATAATAACAAAGTAAAGTAGAATTGCCTCAACTAACTACTATGTTCATATTTTTCCTCTCATTTCGTTGGTAGACATAAAAATATATTTAATAGCAATTTCATCGATTTTTATTTGCAAACATTATTACCAAAAAAATTGTGTTTTCTAAATTTATTTTAGTAAAAAACCCAAAAATTTGATAATTTATTTTCTTATTAAAAATTTTATTAATTTAAATATTTAATTTAAATGGAGGTAGTAAATTGATATTTTTAAAATATTCTTATAATAGTATCTCTAGTATTTTTTCGTTATCCATCTATATTATTCCCCTTCCCTCTTTTTCTACGTTTACCTAAAAGTTCGCAAAATGGTCAGTGAATTTATCTGGTCGAATTTTTGATCTATAGGATAAGTAAATGTGAGAATTTATTTTTAACGAATTTTCTTGTGAGGGATAGCATCTTTGACAATTAAGCACTCTTACCAAATATAATTTTTAATATAAAAAGAATGGATAAATATAGACGGATAATGGAAAAGTACCATTTTATTGTTAAACATTTTTATCTATAAAGGAGTCAACAAGTATCAATGCTAATATAAAAATCACCCAAAATTTTTCAAAGTAAATTTTAAAAAAATTTAATTTAAAATTATAATTTTTGAGGCGTTCAGGTGCTCTACTTTTAGGGCAATTAATGTCTCTCTGTTTAAGCGGGACAGCTGTTGCTTCACAATTTTTGTCTAATGAAAAATACAATGCTCCTACAGGCAAATTATTATTTAATGTTTTATTTGAAAAAACTTTCGGAATCCGAAAGTTAAATTATGCATAAATTTGATTAAGCAATGCTTTAGATATACATAAAAGATCCTTAAACTGACCAAAATTATCTAAACTAAGAGAACTTCAAATTAGGAGGTTTTAAAAACTGGTCATGTCCATCCTTACTTTAATCAGACTAGAACACATACTGATTTTGGTATCCGGATATTTACGGCGGATACAGGCGGATATCCTCAGGCATTTTTATAATATCTGTATCCGTATCCATGTGCTAGTTTGACTATAATTAACATTTCTGATAAATCTTTAGTTATTGAGCTTCAGATAAGTGTATGTATGTTTCTCCTAAAAATCATATTGAAAGAAAAATCATTTAAAAGAAAATAATCTTTAAAATTTAAAAAAAATATTTTCTTTTCCTAATTTGCAGCCCAAAATCTACCTACGTATTTCGTTATTTTTGTTATTTTTGGATATTTATTTTTTCGTAAAAATAAATCAAATAATAATTTAAATGATTCTGCTATTCTACCTTCTAATATAGAAAATGAGGGATTTTTAGAAATTTTAAGAAATAGAGGATGGAAATATTTTCTACTTGCATTTATTGATGTTGAGGCTAATTTTGTAGGTAAATTTCACTTTACGTGAATTTTAAAATTTTTAATGTTAGGAGAGGATGAAGAGGGAAAATATTTAAGCGAATGCTATAATTAAATGTCTGGAAAACTGGGTCAGGCTAAAATAGTTGAATTCGAAAGTTTGAATGGAAATTTATAGCAAACGGCAGTTCCTTACCTCCGGACCAAAATTTTTAGTCTGATTAACATTAAGGAAAAAATTTTTTGAAAATTTTCTTTTCCTATAGGCAATGGTCTATGCCTATCAATTTACTAACATTACCGCCATTCAATTGTTGAATTCTTTTACAATACCTGCAGTTATGCTACTTTCGTGTATTTTTCTTTCTACACGTTACAAAAGTGGGCAATTTGCAGCTGTCGGTATGATTTTTAAAAATAATTTGAGAAATCTTGGAAGTCAGAAACCACACAGAACAATAAATTATTACAACTAGTACATATAAATTCTAAAATAATAAATGACGTCCAGTTAACTATTTTTACCAATAAAATTTTCCAGCAATTTGTCTTCTCGGCCTAGGCTTAACTATCTACACCGATGCAATTCATGATAAAGGATTAAATAGTGGGACGAATAAATTTATTGGAGATTTTCTTTGTTTAATTGGCACATTTTTATATGCTGTGTCCAATGTTTCAGAAGAATGCTTAGTTAAACAATATTCTCGGTAATCTTTTTGGATTGAGTTTAATCGAAATAGCCTTAAAGATTCTGGTAAATATTTGAGTAACGACTACAATTGATCTAAACCGTCAAAACTTAAAAGGGATAGGGCAATTTCGAGCAATTGACTAAATAAAAACGTGTATGTTTATATGTCCATTTTCTTTATCCATTGTTAAACCAAAATTTGTCCGAAGAATTTTTCGATAGATTCTCAATCTGACCAATAAATGTAGGTTGCCTGCCATTAAGGAGGAACTATACCTGAACTAAAAATTCGAATACTTTAAGTCGATATCCTAAACAATCATGCACATAGTAGAGTTCTCTATATGAGGAGAAATTACTATTTACATTACCTAAAAAATTTTTACCGGATCTCTCCTATACAAATAATCTCGTTATTCACAGAATTAATTTTAATAATAAAGAAGAAAAATTATATTTATACATCGTTCTCTTTCAGTTTAGAATTTCTAACTTTTATTGGCATTTTTGGATTTATAATATCTTTATTTCAATCTTATTTTTTGGATTATACAAAATTAATTAAATTTAATTGGAATTTATTTTCTATATTTATTTTAATATTTTTTACCTTTTCAATGGTTTTATTTTATTCTTTGGTTAGTTCTGTAATGCAGCGATCTTCTGCTTTATTGTTTAATATTTGTGTTTTAACTTCTGATTTTTATTCAATGCTGGCTGGTATTTTTCTTTTCGGGCAAGAGGTGAGAAAAGATAATTTTTAAATGGAAATAGTAAAAAACTGAATATTTAAAATTTTTGATAAAAATTCAAAAAATTTAATTTTAATTATTTATATTTTCAGTTTTATATTCTTTATTTAATTGCCTTTATTATAATTATTTTTGGCACAATTTTATATAATCGTGAAGAAACTAATTATGTAAATGAAAATGAACAACTTTAAATAAATCTTTAAATAAAAGTAATAAAAAAATGTCTGATAATTTTTGATAGAAATTTCCTCTCATTCATCTTAACTTTTTGCCTTTAATTTTTAAAATTAAATATTTATGATACTTAACGATTAAATATAGTTTTCAAAATATAGTTTAAATTTCCAATTTTTAGAATTTTCCATTCTGGAATGTAAGAAGGAATTTTAAAATTTTGTGGAGGAAGTGGGGATTTTTTTGGGGATTTCAAATGACGAAATATTTAATTTTACTAACGATTGGAATATTCTCGCAAGAAAAAGAATAAACTTTTAAAATTCTTTTAAAAAATTCTATATTTTATAAAAAATATTTTGAAATAAAAATATTTACTCAAAAATTCCATCAACTTTACCCACAAAATTTTTTGACTTCACGTGAAAAATTCTAAAAATCGGAATGCTTTTATGTTTAAAGAGACTATTTTTTATATACTAAATGCACTTTATAAATTCACCCCATTATTATTTCTCAATTTTTAATTGCGATAATACATATGTACTTACATTATGCATGTCTGAGAAAATAATTCATTTAAGAATTATTACGTTATAATTATTTTTTATTTTTTTAATTCTCAATCTCGCTGTATATTTTTGAACTTTATTTGTACATCTCTAATATTTTGAAAAAAGGATTCACGTTTTTTTTTGCTATTCAAGAACTGTTTTTAGTAGAAAACAAAATTGCAACATCAACATTGCCAAAGTTGAGCATTCTTTTATTACTACATTACAAGGCTCGTTCTCACCATCAAAAAATAACTGCATGGGGACTGTAATAGATTTTTTAAAATTTCACTTAGCAACGATTTAACCACAATCGCGGTTTTTCTCACTAATAACTTCTTGTTCTACTCTAATCCCTCAATACCAATTATTAAATTCAAAAATAGTTTTAAAATAATAATTATGAAATTTTGCACTTTATGTTTTGAATATGCTAATGATTAATCAAGTGCATTTATTGAAAGGAAATTGGGAAATAATTACTTATATTATTTTTAAAAATACATAAATGTTTATTCTTTATTTAATTAATATACATAGATAAGCAACTGGGCTATAGCTATTTTTCTCCTTTAGCTAGTGCAAAAGGTTATTCGGCGATTGGGAGCGAACCAGCATCTTCAGTAGACCGGACTTCTGAGTTATCCATTACACCACGCCGCCTACTACAAAGACTTAAGAATTAAATAGCTACTATATGCTTTACAATTTTTTGATGAATTTTTTGATTAAATAATGATAAGATCCGGCTTGTGTTAAAAAATTTAATGCCAATTTTTTTTAAATTTTTAGGTTAATTAATGTTTTTTATTAAATTTTTATTTTTTTGTCAAATATTATTTTTAATATTTCCTTTTTCTTCTCCGATTTTACTAAATAATCAACGAATTTTGGTTGAGTCCACAGAAAATAACAAAAATGAGGATGGAAGTTTTAAAATAAAATTATTGAGAATGGAATTGAATAAAATTGAGGAAGAAACTGGCCAAAGTAAAATTGAAATTTTATATGAAATTGATGAAAAAAATGAAAAAGATTGTGTTTATACAAGTGTTTATACAAATAATTGTGATAATTTTACATTTGTTTTACACAGAGTGAAAAGTATAATTAATGGAAATAAAGGGAAAAAAATAATTTTAATTGAAGAGTCTTTCTATGATTTAAAAAGATTTGGGCTAAGTATTTGTTTAAAGGAAAGTAATGGAACAGAACAAAAGGTAAAGTTAAACACGTTTTTATAGTCAAGTTTTGATCCGTTATGATTTCCAAGAAGATGATACTTTTAGACCGTATGACGGTAGTTAGGGAATTTTGGTAGGTGTTCAAGTCAGATTTAAATTTTATTGTGCCGCATGCAAAATTTTTGAGAATTTTAACGTTAAATATAATTTCTAACCAAAAAGTCCATTTGTAAGTAAATTACTTCCAAAACAAGTACGGATCGGAGCCCTTATGTAATTGACTCGATGGACTTTCAGCTGAATGAATGAATAATTACTCTGCCTTAGCCTATTCCAGTAATTATTAGCTATAAAATCGAAAAAAATGCATTTTACTTTAAATTGCCTTTACTTTTAATTTAAATGTTTTATATTTGTTTTTAAAAATGTTTAGATCTTTTATGTAATGATTTTTTATTGAGGAGAAATAATAAAGCTCTCAAAAATATTTCCTATTTTTAACTTGAAATTTTAATTTTTAAATTACAAATTTATTTTAATAATCATATGTTTTAATGTTATATATTATAAATAATCATCAAAAAAGTGTGAATCTTTTTATTTAAATTTTTAGGAATTAATGATTTTGATGCCTTTATTTTTTGCACACATTGATTTTGAAGTAAATAAATTGCCGATTGGTAATGTAATAACTGATGCTATGTTTCATAGTAAAGTTATAGAAATAAATGGAATAAAAACAGCTTTTGGGACAACTACTAAAAATATTTATAAATTAACTAGATTAATTTGTTTTTTGAATCCGGATGGACCTAGAAAAATTCTGAAAAGAGAAAACTTTAGCAAGGGTAATTTAATTGAGCCAACCTCATTAAATGCTAATAGACATATAAAGAGAATGGAATATTCTCACATTGAAATTTGTTTAAAATTTGAAAATCCAGGCAATTATTTTATCATTTTACTGAGAAATTTTGAGGTTGGTTGGTTTCAATTTTTTGTTAAATAAAAAAAGCAAATGAGGAAAGATGTGTGTTTAAAATGTTCAAGGGAATGAGTGATTTAGAGAAGGATTTATTAAAAAGTCTGAGACATTGCATAACAATAATGATAACAAAAACAGAGATTAATGATATTGAGGATGGCCAAATGAATGTTTTTGATGAAGGTTTTTTAACACATTACAATAATGAAATAGAAAATGTTGCCACAATAAGAGCATTGTTGAATGATGGAAGTTATGAATTTTATTTAGATAAGGAAGGAGAGATAAAAGAAAAAGAGGTGTTCATTGTTGATCCGGATAACGAAATAATTAATTTTAAGAACAATAAACAAAGAAATCCTACAAAAAAGAGGAAGTTTGTTGAGGAAATCGTCTATGGAAACTAATAAATATCACTTTAAATTTTAACGATTTAAATTTATTTGATTAATTTTTTAATGATTTTTTCTGAAATTTTAGCAATTTAAATTAACTTTTTTGTAGTTTCTTATCTATAAAATCAAATAAAATATTTATACAATAATTCTTATTTAAAATTAAAATCAGGGGATCTAAAGGATATCAGCGGATCAGAAATCATAAATATAACTAATTAAATTCCATATAATTAATTCGATTTAAAAAAGTATAAAATTTATCCAATAGAAGATCCATAAAATGTATATGGCAAATAAACAGTAAAAATTAAAGAAATAATCATTGTGGATGCTATAATTGTAAACATTAAATGAAACCCTATTATATTTAGTAAAAATTGTGAAAACAGTGCTGTGATTATGCCAGAGATGAACTGAAAAATTAAATAATTTTTAAAGATTTGTAAAGCCCTTATTTAAGTAAGAAGACAAAGTCCCTTGCTCGTGAAGATAAGAGACCGGAAGAATCCACGATTTATTGTCAATAATTACAATTCCTAGATGTGTGAATGAAACCGAAGTACATAAGATGATTAAAGGTGCGATTGGAATCTTAAACTGGACAAGAGCCATCTTTTTCCTATGGCGATTATTACCAAACTATTTGTATTAAAACAAATGCTCCGGTACTATGTGTGTGTACCTAACAGGGATGTCACGGGTTACCCGAAACCCGATACCCGAAACCCGGCCTTTTTTTCGACCCGATACCCGAAACCCGATCCGAGAAATTTTCTAAAACCCGACCCGAAACCCGACCCGAGAATTTTTATTTTTCAAAACCAGACCCGAAAACCGACCCGAGTTTTCTCAAAATTTTCGCCCACGTCGCAGCAAAAGGGAAGATTTTTAGCTTAATGATCTTCCAAAATTTTGAAAATTTTCGCCTGCGGCGCTGAAAAAGGAAGAAATCTGGCTTCGAACCTTCAAGAATTCTCAAAATTTTCGCCTGCGGCGCTGAGAAGGGAAGATTTTTGGCTTTTTGGCCTTAAATTTTTTCGACCCGAAACCCGAAACCCGATCCGAAGAAAATTTTGAAAACCCGATCCGACTTTTTGCTCAACCCGAAACCCGATCCGAGAAAAATTTTGGAAACCCGACCCGAAACCCGACCCGACATTTTTCTCAACCCGTGACATCCCTGGTACCTAACTCTAAGTGAATAGAGCCTTGTATGTATTCCCAAAATGATTTTACTTGGATAAGTTTAGTGTTACACCCCCCCCCCCCACACGACACTATTACCAAATTCTGAGATGAATATTAACGGAATTGGAGAAAGAAATAATATTCATATCCGTCTAGATGTGTGGATATCCTCAGGTATCCGATATTATTGTCAGTATTCGTGACCAAGTCTGGATAAACTAAGATTTATATATCCTTCTCATAAATATTTATAATTCAATTTAAACCCACAAGTGATATATGAACACACCCATAAGCTACACCAAAATTTTCACATCCAAAGCAACGATGAGTCGCATAGGGTACTAATGAATAAGTTGCTCCAACACAAGAAAACATTGCACAAATCTTTAAATTTATTTCAATTTCATTTACTTCATAAACAAATTTAACTTGCCCAGATAAAGAAGAAAAATGATGAATTAAGCAATTCAACAAGTCCTAAAGTCCACATAAGTGCAGCACCGAGTGAACATGCAATACCCATTGTTAGCCTATATGATGCCTGAAAATTTGGAAAATTTTTTGATTTGCATACAGAAAACTTGGAATTCTACTTTTGTGCCTGATTCTGAATGATTATAAAATTTAATTTTAAATCGTTCAATAGAATGGCAATTTAAAATCATCAAACTTAAAAAACCATTCAATTAGCTTAAGCTTAGAGACATTTCCATTGTTGGAAATTACCGTATAATGAACTCTCAATATGAACCACACTCCATAAAAAGTTCCAATCTTACTAGATGGATGCTTCTTCGAGAGGGGCCATTTTCAAGTTAATTTCAAACCTTATTTTTATTAAATAGGGCTGTACTAGTCCTTTTCACATGGAAAATGCCGGTATAGTTATATCCATGACAATCTACCTGTACGTAAAGAATATAACACTATTCATCCCTACATTAAATTTTTGGTGTTATAACAAACATGCTTATTCGGAAAGAATTCGGACAGAAGCCCTAATTACTATATTGTTTTAGTTAAATAATCAATTACTCGGTCTGCAAAAGCTCCCCAAAATATTCTGCTAAAACAATTTGTAGCAGCAGCAAATGAACTAACTGTTGCCAAAAAGAAATCGTCATGAATAAAAGTTTGGCCGTAAGCCTAGAAGTAATTTTTAAAAATTATTTAAATTTATTTATTACACCTTAAAAAGTCCACTTGTAGTCTGTACCCAAATTCCGTTAAGTAATAAAGTCAAAAACAAACAAATAAAAGTATCAGAGGTTAAAACTTTCTTTGTAGAAATTGTGGGGGCAGTTAAACTTAATGCAGTTGTTGTGGTTGTAATTATTCCATAAGAAGTGTGGGAGTGAGAGGAAGTTATTGAACATCTAGATTTGAGTAATGGACGTTTTTGTGATTCGATTTCTTGATCTTTATTTTCTTCATCATTTTCATCTTGAAAAACACTTTCATTGTTATTAGTGTTTTTCTGAAAATTTTAAAATGGAGAAATTATTACAAAAAGCTGAAACTATTACATATACATATTATTAACTAGAATTGAGTCAGGTAATAACATTTACTGTATATCCTATAATAACTACCCTGGGTAATTATTGTTTATACCTTCTTGTGGAGGGAGTAATTAATCAAGGCGTGTAATTATACGAGGTGTCGTATAAAATACGAAATTCTTTAATTAGGTATTTAAAATTCAATTTATTATTAAATTTCTATTTTTTCTCTTGTCAAGGACAGAAATCCTTGCAATATCTTTTTCCCATAAAATCCCTTTTCTCGCTCTTTGAACCTATTATTGTAATATTCTCTCTTCTTCTCTTTTCTATTCACGTGCATTTCACTAATATCCTCCCCTTAGGAACACTATAAAAGCCAAGCCCTAATGCCAAACAATAACATTCATTTGTTCAATCATCAATTTCCGAACGTCCAATCGTTCATTAATTCAACTACTTATTGTAAATTTAATTTTATTTAAATAAATATTTTTAATATTTATTCTTCTTTAATTCTTTGATTGTTAAGAAGTAAGTCTAATCTTATCCTTAACAAAGTGGTGCTCCGGGAGAGGCCAACAACAATTGAAAATTTCTAATAATTTTCACATTTTTCAGTGTCGGACCAAATCAATCCGAACGTTCTTCAACAAATTCTGGACGCAATTAGAATTCAACACAAAAAATCTTCAAATTGTACTTGTCTGGCTTGTTCAACATTAAAAGCAACAACTTCCCCAGCTGAAGTTAAAATTAAAAAAGAAGGGCCAAAAATTGAAGATATTGGAAATTCTAATACTAAAGAAGGGGAAACGCCACCAGCTAAAAACAACAAAAGGAATTATAACAGTAAGGAGATACTTCCAACTATCTCAGAAGACTCAACAGACGAAGAACCTCCATTAAAGAGGTTCGTAATAAAGAGAGCAATCAGTCCATTATTTTTATTCAGAAAGAGCTCTCCCAAATTAAAACAACCTGCTACACCTCGTAGGGCCTGTTCGCCTCCTACTCCAATCCGGACCACCAGAGTTGAACCAAACAACTACAAAAAGAAGGTAGACTCACAAATAGTTAATTATCAACACAAAAAAACTTCTGAATTTTTAAAAAGACAAATTTTCGAAACCTTAATATTTCAAGGAAGATCACACCCTGAGCAAGGAAACAGCAGTGGTACCAACCAGAGTCTATCATCGAACGCCAGTGAGGTGCCCTGTCAGAAACACTCCACAAAACAAGGCTCAGCCCCAAAAAGTAAATCTAAATTTCTTACAACGGATATTAAATTTACCAGTAATTTTTTCAAAAAACAAATTCAGGTGAACGACCAGACCGAGGCCAAAAAGAAATTGGAAGAAAATCAAATAATCGAAGCGAAGGCCATAGGAGAAGCTACCCGAAAAAATATACGTTTGGCAGACGTGTACCGAGATCTTGGCAGCACGTTCCGAGCAGCCGGCCAATTATTTGAGAAACTGGGAAATATAATTAAAGAAAAAGAAAACAATTAAAAAATTTACTTAATTAATTTAAACGCTCTTAATTCGATTGCTTTAAATTTTTTCTAAAAAAATCAAGAATTTTTTCTTCAATTGTAAAATTTTAAAAACAAAATAAACATTTTTCATATACAACCATTGCCTTCTGTGAAAAATAAACAAACAATCGATTGAGGAAATCCTCCTTTAAAAAGCAATATAAACATACAAAGAAAAGAAAATTTTGAGAAATTAGAGTACAATAAAGACTTAGAGATCAAATAAAACAAAAAAATGACCTCGAAGGTATATGCCGGTCCTCTTAAAATGCGCTTAGGTCCGCTGAAAAAAAGGACCTTAGGATATATAAATACTGCTAAAGATTTGTTTTCGGCAGAACCTCTTAAAATTAGTTCCAATAGCAGCAGCACATTGCTCTATACTTAATACAAGATATAAATATAAAACTGACCTTATAAATAATCCGCATCTATTCCCGAGTAGTTGGAATGAAGAAGTAAACGTAGAAGAATGCAATCGAATATGGAAAAGATCGAGATGTCGTTTAGGAGAATTAACGGGAAGCGCTAACATAACTCACACGCATAACAAGGCACAAATTAAATTCACATACTGGGCTATAGGATACCAAGAAGCAAAAGAATCTAATTGCTTCCTTAGTAAAATAAATATTTACATAAAACCAGACACATCTATAATTCTCACACCTGGAATAGATATATCATATTGTAAATATGAACAAGGAGCATGTCTTTTAGAAGATGACTCAATAATTATTTGGAAAGTTGAGGAAAGAGGGAAAAATGAAAAGATGTGTAAATTCTCGAAAATAAACAAATGGAAAGGTACCTGGATGGGAAAAATTTGGCTGGCGGAAAACAAAGAAATAGGGCTCTCCTTCACAGAAGACCCTATAAAAATAAATGATTGTAATCGGGAACTAGTCCTAACGGATCAAGGCTATGCGGTCCCAGCACAGCAATATCAAATACTAAAATTAAAAAAAGAAATAAGAGAAAAACGGGATACTGTCATTGGAGCAGGAACAGTACGTACCACACAATTAGCAGCCGAACTCACAGCAACTGCTGTGCTCTCGACCGAAAAAGTTAAACAAGCATTAAGCCATATCTCAAATACTCTTTGTGCGAGAAGTAAAATTAGTGACTATCAAAGCAAATTCCTTGGAGGAGCAGAAGCTAATATAGCAGCCAGACTGCTCATGAACACACCTTACATAAAGGGAAAATGGATATCACCGAACATTCTAGAAACCACCACATGCTTACCAATCCCAGTAAAAAACATCACATACCTCGCAAATAAAAAATGCTATAAAGAAATACCAGTAAACGTTACAATAGAAGATAAGACAATAAAAGCATTTCTCGAGCCATTGACCCTAATTATAACAGAAAAGCCAAGTAATACACCTTGCTCATATGAACGTTACGTCACAATATTTATAGAGAAAAAATTAATAAGAATAGATCAGAAAACAGGACAATATACTGAAATCAACGATAAATACATACACGAAATTAGAGATGATATTCAACCCGAGAATAAACCTACGATCGAAACTCACGCCTTCCATAATCTCATCATAAATAATTATAGTGATCCAAGGATAGAAATGTTGCAAATGTTTCAGACATTTGGAATAGACCGGAAATTCGAACAAGAAAAACTGGAAACAGCAGTAAACACAGGACAGTACATACACTATACCGAACAAACCTTCCAGAACCCTCTCCAATATATATTCAAAAACTTTTTTGACTTAAACTTTGAAAAAATCTGGATAAGGTCTGTAGCCGTATACGTCACCTACATCTGGATCATAGAAACGCTTATACCATTTCTCTTCAAATACTTTAAAAATACAAGAATAGGGAGGTTAATAACCACAATCTTAAGCAAAACATCGACAGAAGTGCTCGTACAGGAAACCGACCAAATAAATAATGAAGAAGTAAGAATGAGAGAACTTCTAAGAAAAATCAAGAAAGAGGAGGAAGAGGATAGAAGACAACGCCTCGCCGCCGCGAGTGTCGTATAAAATACGAAATTCTTTAATTAGGTATTTAAAATTCATTTTATTATTAAATTTCTATTTTTTCTCTTGTCAAGGACAGAAATCCTTGCAATATCTTTTTCCCATAAAATCCCTTTTCTCGCTCTTTGAACCTATTATTGTAATATTCTCTCTTCTTCTCTTTTCTATTCACGTGCATTTCACTAATATCCTCCCCTTAGGAACACTATAAAAGCCAAGCCCTAATGCCAAACAATAACATTCATTTGTTCAATCATCAATTTCCGAACGTCCAATCGTTCATTAATTCAACTACTTATTGTAAATTTAATTTTATTTAAATAAATATTTTTAATATTTATTCTTCTTTAATTCTTTGATTGTTAAGAAGTAAGTCTAATCTTATCCTTAACACGAGGTTTAAAATTTGAACGTGTTTAAGGCATTGTAATTATCGCTGGATGGTGTAATTAATAACAGTGGGATAATTATTTGAGGGAGGGCAATTAATACAGGTTATACGGTACTCTGGATCTCCCACTCAAGGTTTTTGTTAACTTAAAGAGAAAGTGTTTTAGAGTTTTCTAATAACAAAATTAAAATTAAAAATCTAACGGGATCTGCAAGAAAGAAAAGTCCAATAAATTGAAGAGCACCAAAAATAAGTGCCAATAAAAGAAATAATTGAGGAACCCGTTCAAGTAGTTCTGTTTGAGTGAAATAACTTAAAAATTGGAGAAAGAAGAATTTTCTAAATTTCAATTTCGAAATATACCCTTCTTCATTAACATTAAAATTTTCTGGATTAATAAATTTTGTTTGAACGGGAGAAATTATAAAAGCACCGCCGCCAAAGCCTGCAGTAATTATTCCACTAACTAGACCAACTCGGTGTGGTAGCCACTGAAATTTTTAAATTAAATTTTTATTCTTAAACTTTTTAAAAATTTTAATTTTTTGTTTTTATTTTTCCATCTTTGTCTTTGTAATCTGATAGTAAGATAATGAGCAATACATACTCAAAATCAAAAAAAAATCAGCCTAATCACTCTTTAGTGATTAGGCTAAAGAGTGATTTTTTTCCTCTTAAAAAATTTAGCCTAATCACTCTTTGTCCTTTTCGTATTTTATTCCACTTTCTTGCAACTTTTAAATTTTTATTTTTAAATCTGGCAAATCCTATCCCTATTACAATTACCACGTCGAGTATTTACTAGAATTGGGCAAAACGATACTGGTATCGGCCAACCCGAGACCGAGATTAACCGATACTCAAGAACCCGATACCGAGACCTATACCAACATTTTGAGCCGAGACCGATACCGAGAAACGATACTGACCGAGAAAACGATATTGACCATTGATGGTTAACATCCTTTTTTTATAAAAAAATACAATAGTAGGATTTATAGCTAAAGGATTATAGTCAACTTATACAATTATAGTCCACTTAATCCACCATTAGCTTTCCAAATATAACATTCGATATCCCTCCAAATCCATTGATATCCTCTTAAACACCCAAATTCCTCCAAATAACTCAGTATTGTATTTAAGCCTTTTAATTTTATTAAATTACTGGGACTCAGTTGAGCTAGATAAAAGAGCAACTCAGTCGTGCGAACGCAATCGTGAGGGCTTAGTGAAATGCTCGGATTTTGTAAGGCAAATAAAGAAGGATTCACTCTTTTCAGCGCCGAAGCCGAAAATTTTTTGAAATTCAGAAATTTATTAAAAAATACAAGAAAATTGGGGTCTTTGAGTCAGTATCGTTTCTCGCCGAGAAATGGACCGAGAATATCGGTATCGGTTTCGAGACCGAGAATAAAAAAACCGAGAACGATATTCAAAAAAGCCGAGAATCTCGGTATCGGTCTCGGTATCGGTCTCGGCTTGTCCAACTCTAGTATTTACTGATACTCAATAAAATTATATTCAAAAATTCCTGCCTTTTGGCATTGAATAAGAACACAATTATAGGTTACACCAATTCCAAAACTTGCAAAAAACCCCATCGTCACAATTAACAGAAAATAAGATTCTTGAATACTAAAATAAGATAAGGCCAAAGATCCAGTATAAATTACAGAGCCAAATGCTGCCCCCCATCTTGCCCCCAATAAACGTTCCAAATAACCTCCAGTCAACATCGAGAATGGAAAACCGGCTTTAAATCAGAGGTGGGTCGGAACAGCCCGAGGTGTCGGAAATCGGAACTGTCGGAAATCGGAAATGGCTCAAAAGTCGGAACTCGGAAATCGGAAATCAAAATTTTTTTTCGGAAATCGGAAATCGGAAGGAAAAAAACGCCGGAAATCGGAAATCGGAAGGCGGAAATCGGAAATAAAATTTTTATTTTCATAACTGAAATTTATTTAAAATTGTAAGGTGGTAAATTATGTGCCTTCTTAAGTGTAATTTGAGGGTGTAAAGTTCTTTTTGCAACTCAAAAGTCAAATTCGAAAAGATTAAAAGAGATATTATGGGATTTGGTAGATTAGACGGGATATCAGAGAATTTATAGAATTAATAGGGATATTTGGAGTTTAAAATTGAGGACTGATAGAGCCTATGACCCCTCGTAATCACACGATATAACTCAAAGTCCACATTAATCTAACCTAATCCTCTGATATACTATTCAACTTCCATTTACGGCGCCGCAGGCAAAATTTTTGGGATTTTTGGGAGCCTCAAGTCAAAAATCTTCCATTTTTTGCGCCGCAGGCGAAAATTTTGAGAATTTTGGAGGTCCTTAAGTTAGATTTCTTCGAATATTTGCGCCGCAGGCGAAAATTTTGAGAATTTTGGAAAAATCTCTAGTCGGAAATATGCTTCAAAAATTCTCGGAAATCGGAAATTTTTCCAAAATTTCGGAAATCGGAAATCGGAAGGAAAAAAACATCGGAAATCGGAAATCGGAAATCGGAATTCCGACCCACCTCTGCTTTAAATGAATAAAAATTAGCTAGAAATTAAAAAAAAAGATATTCAATAATATATGTATTCATAAAGCCTTAAGTATTAAAAAGAGTAAGAGCTTCAAGAAAAATTTAGTCACCAGGCAGGAATCGAACTACCAAACTTAGCTTAAATTTTTGTTTAAATTTAGCCTAAATTTTTGTAAAACTGGGATACTTGAAGGATAACCTTGCCTTGCTTAAAAGTCATTTAACGCGCCTAAGATTCTTATATTTTGCCATACTACGTATTTAGAGTTTACATACATTTTTGGGGTTGGGGAAATAAAATCTGAGGTATATGTTATTTTGATTGTATTTAGAATCCAGATCCGACTACAGCCCTTTTAAAATTTTCAACTTAAAACCTACACATTAAACTCTGTAACCATATTAACGATCCTTGAGTTTGTTCTGGATTTACTTTCCATCTAATATAAGAAGTTAAGTAAGGCAAAATATTCCCTGAATGAGTGAAATAAAGATTGGAAGAATCTTGAAAGTTAAATTTTAACCAAAAGTGTAGACCAATCCCAAAGTAAATTGTAGCACTACACCTGCAGTAATAACAACAGTCGCTCTCCACTTTGGTGGAAATAATTTTATTAAATGATCTTCGGTTTCCATTTAATTGATAATAAATTTATTGACTATTTTTATTTTGTGATTATATTTTTTTTCAGAAAATTTAATTAAAAGAAAATTATTTTATAAAGAAATTTAAACATTTTTGTAATAAAAAAAAAGTAAAAATACAAAAGAATAATTAATTTAACGGAAATGAAATAATAAAAAATATTTATAATTGGACTTTTTTGATTAAAGATAATGAAACATAAGGGGAAATTAAGTGTTTGTTTTTGTTTTTTCTACATAATTTCTTTGAAGACACAGCCAAAAAGTAATTTTTATGATAACGAGAATTAAAAGAAATTCGGCAATTTTAATGAAAATTGCATCATAAGCAGTATAAACATATGTACATTGGAATTGTATTTGTTGATCTTCACGTGTTTTAAAGTACAATTTAGGGTTCCATAACATATCTCTGGACTAAGAACTTATAGCCATGTTTTGGACAGTCATTTAGAGTTGTAATTTTGTTTTTCTGTGTATTTTTTAAATATGATTATGGAGAATCTTCGGCACATATTGAAATTTATTTTTAAATTTTGGAAATAAAAGTATGTAAAAGTTGAGAATTTTTCTTCTCTCAAAAGGAAAAAAGTTCATTAATAAAACAATTTGTAAATTTTGTGGATGGTATTTTTTGGTATTTTTTTGTTACGACAGATATTCGATTCCATATAGGTAGTTAAAGTTAATTGTCTTTATATCATACTTTGATTGAATAGGTAATGTGAAGTTAGGAACCTAAGATATCCAATTATTTTGAGTAATTTGTAAAATGTTTGGGTACTTAGTTTAAAAGTAAATTATTAGTATAGTAAATAAATACATTAATTTGTCTTTAATCAATCATTTCGTTCAAACCCCCCATATTTATTTGTTACTCCATAAATTGGTAGAAAAGTAACCTAAAACCTGCGCATTACCTTTAATGTTTTAACGATTATTAATATTTTCTATTGTCGTTCTAGTAATTCACTAAAAGAATTACTCTTACAAATTAAGGGCTTTCTTCGAGACATTTTTAATTAATATGCCTTCAAATACTAAAAAAGAATTAAATTATAAAACTGCTCAATATCATTCTAATAACAACAATGAACAAAAATTTGAAGAAATCTCCCTTAATTCCAACAGAAGAAAGGAATCTAATATATCACATAATGAAGGGGGACAAAATTTTAAGTTAAGGTGTGAAGTAATTTTAAATTTTAAAATAAATGTAAAGAAAAATTCCTGGCTATTTTTACACTTCCCCCGTCCTTTTTTCCTTCCCTTTTCCGTATATTCGTTGGAATTTTAGCAATTTATTAATAAAATTAACAAAAATCAATTTCGTTCAATTTTAAATTTTTTTGGTAAAAACCAATTAAAATTTTATTATTTATCGACCAAAATTAATAAATGTAATTTTCTATTAATTTTATTATTAATCAGTAAAACATTCTCAAGTCAGAAATAAAAAAGACTAAATAAACATAGAATTAAATTATAATTAATAAAACAATTTCTACCTTCTTGTCTGAAATTGTCTGAACTAAATAATTTCGTTAAATAATTAACTGAAAGACGTTGAAGAAACATACCTAATTTATTTCAGACAATTTCTGCCTTCTTATTAAAAATAGACTGCCTTTTAGACTGCCTTTAATACACTGCCTTTAATAGACTGCCTTTAATTAAAAATAGACCTACAGTAGTCGACATAAAGATAGGGACAAGAGTAATTTAAATGTAAATTAACTATTTTTCAGTCAAAAAATACGTTCTATATATCAATCGAAAGCTCTATTCGTATCTCAGTTGACATGTTTCTGCATTTTTCATGAAAATGAAAATTGGCCGAGATAATCCGGATCTACCGGATATACCAAATCCCATAGCCTCGGAAAAAATTTTCGGAAAAAATCTAACAAACCCATTTGATAAAGCATATTTTTGTGAGTAGTTACCAAAAAACAGCTTAGAAATATCTTTTTCCGGGACGGAGATATGATTTTTTGAAAATGGCATTTTTCGCTTAAAAATTCAATTTTTTGCAAAAATAGACGAAAAATGCCATTTTCAAAAAATCATATCTCTGGACCGGAAAAAGATATTTCTAAGCGGTTTTGTGGTAAATACTCACAAAAATATGCTTTATCAACTGGGTTTGTTAAATTTTTTCCGAAAATTTTTTCCGAGGCTATGGGATTTGGTATATCCGGTAGATCCGGATTATCTCGGCCAATTTTCATTTTCATGAAAAATGCAAAAACATGTCAACTGAGATACGAATAGAGCTTTCGATTGATATATAGAACGTATTTTTTGACTGAAAAATAGTTAATTTACATTTAAATTACTCTTGTCCCTATCTTTATGTCGACGACTGTAAATTAATTAAAACAAAAATTGGGTGCTCCTTCAACGTCTTTTAGTGTTAATTAATTTAAAAAATTATTTATTTAAAATTTTTTTGTAAAGTTTTGTTTATCTATAAATGTTTTTGTAAATAAAGCTAATTTCGGGTAAACTTGTATTTTTTCTCTACAGTAAGCTAAGAAGGCCGCTATAAGTAATGGCACTCAAAAGGCGACACAGCGCCAGTTGAGTTTCTGCCTTTTTGCCTTTCCTTCTTCAATTAAAAATCTCAGAAAAAAATTTTTTTCTTAAAGCTAATGTATATTTTTAGGAATTTCTTTTCACTCATTTTAATTTTTTTATAATTTTAAATTTTATTTTTAAGGGAAATTCCAAAAAATCAATCGCCTAAAATGGAAAACAAAAAACTTGTTTGTCTAATAATTCTCTTTGCAATAAATTTACTTAATTATATGGACAGGTTTACAATTGCAGGTTGTTTTAATTTTGTTGGAAAGTGATTAACCAAAATTAACCAAATTTCTGATTAACCAAAATTTAGGGGAAAGGAAAATAGTGAAGTTTTTAAAAGAGAAAATTTTTAGAAAATTTCAAAAAAATTTTTTTGCAAAATTTTTAGAATTTTTTTTATAATTTTTAAAATTAAAAAATTTTTTTAGGAGTCTTAAACGATGTCATTAAATTCTACAATATTGACGATAAAATGGCTGGATTCCTTCAAACTGTGTTTATCATCTTTTTTATGTTGTTTGCCCCAATTTGTGGATGTTTGGGGGATCGGTTTTTTTAAATTAATTTTCTAAATTTATTTAATTTTTAAGATTTAATCGAAAAATAATAATTTTAATTGGCGAAATTGTTTGGGTACTTGCCGTCTTTGCTTCTTCTTTTATTCCTCAAAATGTTCGTATTTTTTTATTTAAATTTTAAATTTTTTAGCACTTTGCTTCTTTCGTTATTTTACGTGGAATTGTTGGGATTGGAGAAGCTTCCTATGCGGTTGTTGCCCCAACTTTTCTTGCTGATATGTTTGGGGGAAAGACGAGAAGTCGTGTTTTGATGTTTTTTTATTTTGCTATTCCTGTTGGGAGGTTTTTATTTTTTTTAATTAAGGGGGGGGGGGATTTAGACAGGGAATGTTGGCGATTTTAAAACCGGAAATTTGATATTTCATAGATCCAGGCCCGTAACCAGCGGTTAGGTGGAATCCCTGCAAAAAAGTTAATTTTTTTTGGCCTACAGCCTTCTAAAATTCTCAAATTTATTGCCCACGGCGCTAAAAAATTAATCTGCATTCCCCCCCCCCCCTATCTGAAAAAATCATGGTTACGGGCCTGGATCAATCGATCACGACTTTATAGTCAAAATCCTGATTTTTTCGAATACCCATTCCTTTTCTTCTCAGAATTTATAAATTTATTCTTTTTTCTGTTTTCGTCTAAATCCGTGCTAGACGTTTTGTTCCCCTTATTTAATTTCTTTTTCATATTTTCATCTTTTTTAGCGGTCTTGGCTATGTAATAGGCTCTTATGTAGCATCAATTGCGAAAGCTGGAAGGACAGACTGTGTGGACTGTTGGCAATGGGGAATTCGGGCAACCCCTTTATTCGGCATTGCAACAATTATTGCATTGATTTTTGGAGTGGATGAACCGGTTTGGTTTTTAGAAATATTTCTTTGATTTCTTTGTTTTAGGTTCGTGGACAAGCAGACCAGGAAGAGAGTGGGCAGATAAATGGACAAACTGAAAGGTTTTTTTAATTTATTCTGACAAGGAACCATCTTTTACTGTTTCCTTATACTTAACCATTCCCAAGAACTGAAACTTTTATTGGCCATAACTCGGCCCAAAGTCATTTTGCAAGAAAACTGATATCACTTCACAATAGGAAGTCTGGGGTCCTCTATCGAATGGTGTCAAAAAATTTATCAAATTCTCTTACAGTAAAGATGGGTCCTTGTCAGAGTGTTGCCCTAATTATTAAAATTCAATTTAAAGTCTACAAAAATTCTATTTTTTTATAAAATTTAAAAATCGAATTTTGGTTGGTTTCATATTCAAGTTTAACAGGAAATCATTTGGTTTTGGATTATAAATTCATAATTAAATGATAAAATTAGTTACCGTAAATACTCTAATTAAAGCTCTATTTTTCAATGGATCTATTTGGGTGGGCTCATATTAAAAAGGGCTTCTAATAGAGACGGGCTTTAATTAGAGCATTTACGTTAACTGTCCTTAAACGTAAAAAGATGGTAAATTTTAATTTTTAGTAGCAATCTAAATAATCGTGTTAATTCTTCAACACCTGGCAACGAAGATGTAATTACAGCCCCAACATCATTCAAAAATAAATTGTCTAATATTTATCAAGATTTGGTTTATTTAATTGAAAAGTTTGTTTTCTTATGTTTATTTTAAAAATAATTTTTTAGTCAAACATTTATTTGGTCAACGATAGCTTATACTGCTGTTGTTTTTTCGACTGGGACTTTGACTTGGTTTGGAAATTAATTTTTAAATTAAAAATCTTTTTTTAAATTTTAACGGAATTCAAATAATTATTTTACACAATACTCCAGAAGAGCAAGGGAGTATTTAGGGGGCTAACTTTGCGAGGTTTTTGGTGAAGAAATTCACTTTTTTGATCGTCCTCCTAATTTTTGCCCCCATTTCTAATGGGGCTGACTCTAGCCTTCCAGCTTCCTGGATACGCCCTTCCACATAAGTAGAAAGGCACCCATGGTTTCTTATTTTTCTCGGTTGCTACCGAGATTGCTAACTGAGAAAAATTAAGAAAACATGGTTGCTTTTATTGTTTAGTTGTATTATTTTTAAAAAATGTTATTCATAAAAATCGAAAAATATATAAAAATAAATATTTTTAATTAAAAAAGGTGGGCACCCGCAGCTATAGAGGAAGCAATTGCTTGGCATCATAATATTACAAATGCAACTGCTGTAACAGACACAGAACACGTTGCTTTGACTTTTGGTTTAATTTAATTTTGTTAAATTAATTTCTTATAAATTTTAGGGGGAATAACTTGTGCTGGGGGAATTATTGGAGTGGCTTTGGGAACTGTTGCTTCTATGGTTTCTTTAAAATTTTTAATTAAAAAATTTTTTGAAATTTTGAATTTACTGACTTTGAGGATTCTTAGAAAGACTTTCCCTTTCTTTTTTAATTTTTGCATCTTTCAAAAAAATTTTTTTCTCACTAAAATGATTTTTTGGGATTTATTTAATATTTAAAAAATACAGGCCAGAATGTTTAAAAAAAATTTAATATTTTTTGATTTTTTTTCTTCCAAATTTTAATTTTTAAACATTTTATCCTTCCCAAATTTTTACATATTTTCTTTTTTCCTTTATTTTTACGAAATTTTCTCACCAAAGAAATTACTAAAATTTTATTTAAAATTCTGGGCATCTAAATTAATTTGAAATTTAATAAATTAAATTATTTTTATTTTTTAAAAATAATCAAAAAAAAATTTTTTTAATTTTTAGGCTTGGAAACGTGGAATAAGCTGTTTTTCTGGATATTCTAATCAACGAGCAGACCCCTTAGTTTCTTCTATTGGCTCTTTTCTGGCAACTCCTTTACTTTTTTTGTCAATTAAATTAATTGATTTAAATTTTATTTTTCTTGCTTGGGTATTTTTTTATTTTAATTTTTTTAAAAAGATTTTTTTATTTAAGTTACTTCTTTTTTTAACAATTGTATCTCTTTGCTTGAATTGGGCAGTTAATGTTGATATGTTAATGTTTGTTATTTTAATAATTTTTGTAAACTTTCCTCTGTTTCTGGAATCTCTCCGTATTTTTCCCTTCCCATATGACCCCATTAATTACCTATCAAAGATGTTTTTTCGAATCTGATTTTTGATCGAGCCTAATTCTGTCACAAGAGAGATGTAGGTCTCTATATGCTGCTAATTTGTATTAAATTTTATTAACTTTCCTTAATGCTCCCACGTGTTGAAATTAAAATTATTTTTATAAAAAATGTGTATCAAAATAGCATTTACTGAAATGAGAACAGCCTTTCTAGTTTGGGAGCAAAGCAGCGAAAGAGTGCTATAATAGGGTGTTTTGCGTTTTATTTTTGCTCCTTTGCTATTAGAGGGGGGGGGCGGAATGGAATAAATATTGACCTTTTAAATTTTAGGGCTATTATCGTTCCACATCGTCGAGGTATTGCAAGTGCTGTTCAAATTCTTATATCACATGCATTTGGAGATGCTAGTGGACCTTGGATTGTTGGGGCAATTTCTGACTCTGTTAGAATTTTTTAAGAATTTTTAAAAATTTTTTAATTTAAAAATAGGTTCGAGGAGAGGATAAAACTCCAGAAGCCCATTTCCATTCATTAGTTATTGCATTCTATCTGCCAAATGTTTTATTATTTTTGAGTGGAGTAGGTTTCCTTTTGGCAGCCTATACATTACCTAAGGATTTAAAACTGGCGGAAGATTGGAGAACAAATAGGCGAGGGACAGATGGTTCTGCACAATTGACAGGGGTGACACAAACAGGTAAAAGGGATTTTTGACAATAATTATAATATGTAGTTAATTTCTCTCAAGAATAGGAGGTCTGTTTTATCTGGTTTCTATATTTGGTATAACGTTCATATGTACAATCATTTAGAGTATGAAATTTGAGTTATCGTGCAAGAGCTTCTTCAAATTTCTTATTTTAACAATATGTTTACATACGACGTGTTTTCTCAAAGTTTTAAGGTCCTATCCTTCCCAAAAAATATTTTTCTTCTCCAGCCTTTGCTTAAAAATGATTCGTTTAACTTTTAAAATTTTTCAGCAGATACGGGACATCTGCCTTTAGATGATGGAAACTTGTCGCCTTCAAATAGGTTAAATCAATATCAAAACGAAGCTTTTGATCCATAACAACATATCTATATTTAAATTTTTACTGCATATTATTCTTTATTTACAACTTTTGGAAATTAATTTATGTATTTATACATATGTATTATTCACTCGACTATTATCTGTGCATTAAATACTTAATATAATACCTACATTTCTATTAGAAATTTTAAAACTTTTCTATAAAAATTGATACATTTTATTGTTAAATACATAATTACATGTTAAAATGATTTTTTGATTATTTTTATTTCATTGAATCTAATTACATATACATTAATTTCTGAGTGATTTTAGATACAAACTGGCAGCATTTTCAGCTAATAAATTACCTTCAATCTCACGGAATGAATTGTGCTTATCATTTGATTACTCGAGCTCAAATTCTTGAATAAGATAATTTAAGCAATTATTATTTTTGTTACAGACATATCTTTACTTCAGAAAGTTTATTAATAAATATGAAGAACTGATTCAAAATTGAAGTCTATGTTGTGTGGGCGTAAGAAGTAGAATAGTATAAAAGTCGTCCATTTTTATTCCCAGTCTCACTTCGCCTCTTCATTCTTCCTACCACAACAAATTATATTTTCTACGTGATAAGTTTTTTGTTTGTCTTCGTCTACGTAAGCGGGGTCATAACAGTTTATTTATTTTACTAATTTTTAGCTTTATACTCAATGGCTGGCTAAGTTCGTATACTAAAGCAATTAAACCAGGATCAAATCTTTATGAAATTCAATTAGATAAACAACTCTGGAAAAAGGTTAAAAATTAATATTTTTTAATTAAAATAAATTTTTATTAGATTAAAGGAGTAGAAAATCAATTCCGTTTTTAAATGTTGATGAAACAAACATCTAAAGGAGGTTCTCATTGACAACCAAGAAGGAGAATATGGATTATCATGATCAAATTATTGAAATGAATAGAAGGAATTTAAAAGAATTTTGTTAACTCATTTTGACTTTAAATATTTTGCATATTTTTTTGTTTGTTTTAGTGCAACTGTAATCGAATCATTTAGAGAACATCTTGTTAAATAAAATTTGTTGGCACGTTTAAAATTTGTTGTATCAAGTCTTTTATTACTCTAGTTGGTTTCTATGCGTGACCAATCATAACTGAATTTTAAAAGACGTCAATTTGTATTGTCATTGTCACATGTCTAATTCGAATTGAAAGAGAAAAAGTAATTTAAAATTTACAAAATATCAATTTACTTTTCATTTAAAATACATGTTTACAATAGGGTTCAGCGGTACCGGTATTGCGAGAAAAAACCGGTATCGGTATTTCGGATTGATGATACCGGTACCGACTCGGGATCGGGATTAGCCTAAATCGGTATCGGGATTTGAGTTAATGATACCGATACCGACTCGGGTTCGGGATTGAAAAATTGGTATCGGTATTTCCTAAAAAAATTTTAATCCGAAAAAAATAAATAAATTTTTTCAATAAAATAAATTTATTCTTCATTTTGAATAAGGTTTTAATCTGTAGTAAATGATAAATTAGCACTATAAAGCTATTCTCGAGACAAAAATATCTCAGGAACTAATAGAAGACCTTCCAAATCCATCGATATCCACTTCAATCCTCCGATATCATCTTCATCCGCGGGTATACCCCAAATTCAACTTTATACCTCAAATCAACTTTGGGGATTAGGTGGGATATCAGTAGACTTTTGGGAGTACTAGGGATACCCCCGATAATCGAATGATATCCCTCAATATGGGGACCAAACCTGGATAAAACTTTTTTTCATTAGGCTTCGTTCATTAACAAAACACCTGTGTTTCATTAATGAACATTATTTGGATATAGTTTAGTCGAGGGCCTGCACCGAACCGGGTCAAATGATATGTCAATCGATTCGTCTCGGCGAGCTGAGTCGAACGGTACCACTCTCCAGGTGCGGAAATGCCTGTGGACCGAGATATAGGTCCTTGAAATTTGAAAAATCATAGGGGGGAGTAAGCTGAATTTTGGGGTGAAAATTTCGATTTTCTGAATAATAGCGTATTCGAAAGAATTCCTCGAGCTGAGTCGAATGACACCAAAATGGCTGTGATTGGACGAGTTTGAATAGAGATATGGGGCTCGAAATGGTCAAAAGTTATAGGGGGATTTTAGGGTCAAAAATTCGAAAATACAAATGATAGCTCATTCGAAAGAGCTCGACGAGTTGAGTCGAATGACACCAAAATCAGCTCGGTCCGATCATTTTAAACAAAATTATGAACAACTTAATTTTCGCTTGAATTAATGTTTTGGTGTTGATACGGAGGGTAGGTCGGCATTCAAGGCAGAGAATCGGTAAAAAGGAATAGGATTAAGTTACGAGCCCAGAACCCAGCGACCGTAGACTCCCCGCGAGGCGCGTGCCGCAAAACTCCGCGCGAAGCGCGGAGTTTTGCACAAGCGCCTTGCCGACGCTCCATAGGTTTACGTTGACCATTTCGAGCCCTATATCTCTGTTCAAACTCGTCCAATCACAGCCATTTTGGTGTCATTCGACTCAGCTCGAGGAACTCTTTCGAATACGCTATTATTCAGAAAATCGAAATTTTCACCCCAAAATTCAGCTTACTCCCCCCTATGATTTTTCAAATTTCAAGGACCTACAGTGGTGGAAAAAAGTATGGAAGCAAGAGCTTAAAAAGTAAACTTCCTTAATTTCCTCGACGTACGAACCCTAAATTAATTTTTGTCTATTATAAATTTTAAAGTCCTATCGATTACCTTTAAAATGAGTATAAATAGAAACAACTTTTATCGAGTATTTATTTTTTTATAATTGACTAAAGTAAACAATGTAAATTTTAAGCGGAAAAAAGTATGGAAGCAAAAAAATTTAAAGTATTATTTCAGTATTTTGTTGGGCCACCCTTAGAAAGAATAATTGCATTAATACGACGGGGCATCGAATCAACAAGTGAAATCAAATTATCAATTGGAATTGAATTCCAGGCTATCTCAACTGCCTCCCAAAGTTCATCCTTAGTTTTGAACCTTTGACCCCTCAATTTCTGCTTGATCAGACCCCATAAATGTTCGATTGGGTTTATATCTGGACTGCATGGGGGCCACTTGAAAAGACGAACACCATTTAAACTGAACCAGCCAGGTAATCGAATTTTTCGGCCATCTGGAAGACGCCGAACAGCACCTATCATTAGTTGTGATAATAGCGTATTCGAAAGAGTTCCTCGAGCTGAGTCGAATGACACCAAAATGGCTGTGATTGGACGAGTTTGAACAGAGATATAGGGCTCGAAATGGTCAACGTAAACCTATGGAGCGTCGGCGAGGCGCTTGTGCAAAACTCCGCGCTTCGCGCGGAGTTTTGCGGCACGCGCCTCGCGGGGAGTCTACGGTCGCTGGGTTCTGGGCTCGTAACTTAATCCTATTCCTTTTTACCGATTCTCTGCCTTGAATGCCGACCTACCCTCCGTATCAACACCAAAACATTAATTCAAGCGAAAATTAAGTTGTTCATAATTTTGTTTAAAATGATCGGACCGAGCTGATTTTGGTGTCATTCGACTCAACTCGTCGAGCTCTTTCGAATGAGCTATCATTTGTATTTTCGAATTTTTGACCCTAAAATCCCCCTATAACTTTTGACCATTTCGAGCCCCATATCTCTATTCAAACTCGTCCAATCACAGCCATTTTGGTGTCATTCGACTCAGCTCGAGGAATTCTTTCGAATACGCTATTATTCAGAAAATCGAAATTTTCACCCCAAAATTCAGCTTACTCCCCCCTATGATTTTTCAAATTTCAAGGACCTATATCTCGGTCCACAGGCATTTCCGCACCTGGAGAGTGGTACCGTTCGACTCAGCTCGCCGAGACGAATCGATTGACATATCATTTGACCCGGTTCGGTGCAGGCCCTCGACTAAACTACAGCCCATTATTTTACTTTTAAGCCAAAATTTAATTAACCGGATGCGCCAAAATCGAAAATTTCGAAAATTTTAAGGCCAAAAGGCTTAGCTTTTTCCCATTTCAGCGCCGCAGGCGAAATTTTGAAAATTTTTATAATCTAAGAAGCCAGATTTCTTCAATTTTCAGCGCCGCAGGCAAAAATTTTGAAAATTTTTATAATCTAAGAAGCCAGATTTCTTCAATTTTCAGCGCCGCAGGCAAAAATTCTGAGAATTTTAGAAGGCCATGTGGCTACTTTCGTCCATAAAACAAATGAAAAATCGATCCTTAGGGGTGTTAAAAAATACCGATATCCATCGGTATCCGACGCTAATCCCGATACCGATACCGGCCTCGGTATCGGTATCAGCAAAAACGGTATCGGGATTTATCATTCGGTAGCGGTATCAGTAAAATCGGTATCGGTATTTAAAGAGACCGGTATAATACCGCCCGATACCGGTCGGGATCCCGATCAGGGCTGATCGAAATAAAAATATTTTTTATTTCGAATCGAAACGAAATAAAAAAATTCCTATTTCGTTTCGGAGCGAAACGAAACGAAATGAGCTTGTTTCGGACGAAACGAAACGAAATAAACGAAATAAAATAAAAATTAAAAATTTTTTATTTTTCAGTTCATAAAGGCTTTTAATCGATATTAAAATCATAGATATGCACCCAAAGAGCTAGATGCGTGACAAAAGCATAACAGAAACTAGAGAGGACCCTACAAATCTGCCGATATCCACCTTAATCCCTTAAATCGACATAGATCCACTTTAATCCTCCGATATCCTATTAAAATCCCACGATACTATATTTAAATTCACTTTGGAGTATACCACTTTAGAATCGATCAAGAGAGATATTAAGTGGGATAAAAGAGATATCTTCTATATCCCCCTCCCAAAACTAACGATTCCAAAATCTTAAAATTTTCGCCTGCGGCGCTGAAAAAGGAAGAAATCTGGCTCCATTGATGTCTCCTTAATCCTGTTTGGCCTTACAAAATTCTCAAAATTTTAGTCTCAGGTACAGAAAAATGAAGAAAATACGAGGCTTTAGTGGAGGTAAATCCCTTTAAATTGACATATATCCGCCTTGATCCAATTTGGAGTACAACTCCAGCATATTCAAATCTGGGTTTCAAAATTTTTTTTAATTTT